AACTTGTCTAATGTGCTAACCACTATCCCCAAAGGCCAGGTGGTGGACTAGTGGTGTCTACCTTAGGTTGGCAATGGCCAACCCTCTGACGGGTTCCAGGGGAGATCCCTCCTCTAGGAGGTAGCAATTCTGGACCCAACTGGGCCTGCCTATTACCGTGCTGAATCTCCTCCCCTTTCCTTAGTCAGGCCCCCAATCCTATGGCAGAGTGGTCCTGTTGTGACCCACCTATAGTACCTGCAACATAGAGCGGCAACTTCAACACACTGAACCAAGCTCCAATGCTGGTGCACTGGCACCCTAATGCATTACTTTGGGGTTTTGGCCTTCGCGTATTTGGCTACCCGTTAAGTGCCTGGTGCAGCTCAGCTCCGGCTGCTAAATCCAACACTGAATCTGCCTCTGGATCAGCAATCGCCAGCTTCTTCATGTCCCGTCCCTAATCGTCTACTTGTAATGTCTTCCTTTGATTCAACTTCGAATGCCGTGGCTCACCATATTGCAAATTCAGCCTGTGACTAGGCTGATTGCTGCCGCTTGCATTGGAGGTTTCTTGAATTTGTAGCTCTAGTAAGTTGCGGGGTCTCACTCTTGGCTTTGCTTCACCCTCACTCAGCTCCCGGCTCTGAGATTTGCACTCTAAAGCCAATTTATTATGGCCCTGAAGGCAGCCACTGGTTTTCAAAGACGTTGGGGTCGCCCCACCCTGTGGGTTAACTGTTGGCAGCCAACCTCTCCGCCTTGTCGGCGTGCGCATCCGGGGTGGTTATTTGCTCAATTGTGCAGTGGGTCTAATGCACGAAGGGGATCGTTCCCCGGGGCCTGCTATGGGCGATGGTGGCGGCGCAGCATTGACGGTAGTTCGCTGGTTTGCAGGAGGCCTGAGTGTGGGCCAAGATTAGTTACATTGACATGCGCGCACACTCAAATCTATATTTGCGATGCCCAATCGCGGGTCCATTGTAGCCATGTCAGGATAAGATATATCAGTGTATGTTCTAGCACGTGTCCCCGATCCACTGTTCACCCTAAATCGACCAATTGTCCTCTTTTCCAAGCACCTAACACCCGACCCCTTGGCTCTTAAGTACTGTAACTTCAAGAGGCCATAACTTCGTTATTTCCTAATGGAATTGGGCATCTAAGAATGAGTTGGAACCAAAAAGCTCTAAACCCAGAAGGTCGATTTCTCAAATTATGTAATTCTTATTTCAAAAAATGTCAATAACTATCTAATCCCAAGTAACCATACCACAAGCTCTTATTCATAGCAGAATTCTAGACAGAACATGCAGTGTCAAGAGCACCACAACGATGGGGTGCAATTGGGTAGCAATGCTCAGCTAGTAATAATGAGTGAGTTAATTGCTAAGTGTACATTATTGTCCCATACCTTGGGGTGTGCATCTGCAGTTGCCATTATGTGTTGTGTGTTATAGAGGTGGCCACCCGGATCCGTTAATAGCGGACAGAGGTTAATTTCCGTTAATTTTCCATTAATTAACGGAAAATAACGAAAAAAGACAAAAATTAACCAAAAATTAGCGGATTTTTGGATTTTTTGGGGATTTTTGGGTTTTTTTCATACTTATAGTTTATGGAATTCGCTATTAGAGAGTATGTTTGTATTTTATTTCAACATATGCATACTAGATTTTCAACTAGCCGCAGTTGTTGTGATTTTTTGGGTTTTTTTTCGATTTTTTTGGATTTTTTCGTTTTTTCTGAATTTTTCTCCCTTTTTCTTTAACGAAATTTAACGGACAGCTGATAAAAATTAACGAACCGGATTTAACGGACCGGATGGCACCTTTGAGTGGCCACCTCTAGTGTGTTATAGCAGCCTTAAATATCGTACAATAACATTGGACACAGAGTTGCAAGGCACTTCAAAACCGTACGTACGATACTGGCGGCATGCAGTGGTGCGCTCAAACATGGGTGCGAGAGTGTGGTTGCCAAGGCTCTATGATGATGATGACAATGGTGAAATTGCATGGGCTGCATTGTGCTGCTTACATGGCAGCGGCCTACCTCGCCATGCATGAACTATGCATGCCTACAAGGGATTGTGATGAGCACGAGAGACACTAGAATCCATGGTGAGCTGGACTACTAAGCGGGCCTGGATGTGAAGGCCTGCTCAATGGCAGGGGGCCCAAGCGAGGTGTTGGCGCATACGGGGGAGGCATGGGGGAGCAAGCAAGGGCAAGCTCAGGCAAATGGCAGGTTGCAGGATACATGGCGCACACGCGATCGGATGGGAGGCCATGGAGTTAAATCAGGAGGGCTCTGATCTGATCAGGGAAGCCACAGGGCAGTCATAGTTATAACGTAATAAAAGTTTGGAAGGTTCTAGGTATCCAGAAGGTTCGGGAGAGATCGGGGGTGATGTGACAGCTTATGGATCATTTGGTTGAGCGGGGAGAATCTTAGAATGTTCTGAAATTCTGTGGAATAGCTCGTTGTTCTACATATAAAGAGGGGTCGATCATCTTATTGTTCTAGCCCTTGGCGACCGGGCGCCCCTTGCACCACATGATGTTTGATGGCAGAAGATGTTAACATATTATAAGACCTGGATTCAAGTGTAACAATGGTCGGCGGCTATCAAATTGGTGTATCCGCACTGATTGCTGGGCTCGAATCAAGTGTGTAGGGAGGAAAATGCTCCGTGAACTCATCGCTCAAAATTGTAAGGCATCCTTCCTCCCTGGGAAGGGAATCCGAGTACCGATTCCGGTCGGTGAGAGATATCATTACAATGCATCAAATGCAAGCAAGTGATACCCGTTTGAGTAAGTTGTGTGTTGCATCACTCCGCGAGGCACCCGAGAGAGGTGCCACCATAAGGCGCATGTCAAGGATTGCTCAGGTCCGGGGTGGAGGCGGCTTAGCAAGATAGCAAAATTTCAATTATTATCAACAAACCAAACAATACATATAAACCGAACCACCATTATAATGGTACATTTGGAACATGAATTTGGTATCGAAAATGCCAAATCTATATCCATATTGTAATGTTCATATCATTGTGAATGCACTGAAAAGCGGATGGATGATCCAGATATGGGGCAAAATCCATGTGAAAGCCCCAATTGCAAATCACATATTATGAATTCATCACCATACTCCTCTAGGCCACTCTAAGTTAAGTTGAGTGGCTTTCTTTTGCTCCATCTAGCACAGCAAGATGGAATTGCCCTAAGGAAGAGGCGAAGTTATAAAGAAAAACTAACAGTCACTCTAAAAGAGAGTGTGGTTCTCTGGCAGCAAATACATCAATATATACTTGCTCTTATGATGAGCGAGAGTCAGGAAGGGGGGTACTCAAACCTTAGCACACAATCCCCTCCCCCTAAGCAAGTAAAAGCAAAGTGTCCCCCTGCCCCAGTCAAAACAAATCCAAACTTGACACAGGGGAAAGAAAAATGGCACTTTTTGATGAACGCACAGGTAGCGCAATTGCACCAAAGTTGGAAAACTGCCACAGAAAAGTAGTTGGCATAACAATATAAATATAATCATACTGGATGTCAAAGTACATTGTGATGATGTTGTAGCATCGTTGGGCAATGTATATAACCTTGGGAAAATGCAAGTGACTGGTTGGGTGTTTTCATCAACACCAATCAATTAGTACAACTCTGAAAAGTCATTGGGATTGCTTTCTTGATGCTATTTGGCATCAACTTGTGTGCATATAACCCAATGTTAGCAGTGAGACTCGCTGGGTTGTTCAGAAGATTGTGTAGTTCTTATTGGTGTATGGTGAGGCCGTTAATGCATGGCGAATCCCTTCAATTTCCTAGCCTAGCTCGTGAAGTTGCTCGGGTAAAATGGCAACTAAGCTTTTCTTGGAGTTCTAAGTGTGCAAGGCACTATCAGCACACGCGGGAAAGGGACACAAGACCTGTCACTTCGCAGCTTGTGATGGGCATGGTTGCTGGCTCAGTCAGCAACCCTTATCAACTTCGGTTGATTTGCACCTTTTTCGTTGGTCTATTTATAGGTTGCATATTGTCCCTCAGTTGCTTGTGTCTGTGGACCTGGATCTGGCACGCCCTTTGAGGGGATTTCACGAATCTGAATGAGGCTCATTTGCTTAATTAGGCAGCCGCATTGGAGCATCTTTATCGGTGGGTGCTATTGTCCCGGTGGAGATATGTGGCTATCCGAATAGCATCGCACGTCAAAAAACCATCATTGACGGTTGGCGAGCAATAGCACCCCCGGAGTTGTTCGGCGCTGAGCAGCGCTATTTTGGCTGCGAATAGCACCGCTCGGGGCCAAATAGCACCCCAGAATAGCATAGGTGCTATTCGTGCAGAACACTGTATTGCTGCAATGATGCTATTCGGCGTAGGCACAGCACCCACCATTGCGGATGTGCGCAGGGGAGCAATAGCACCGGTGGTATTCGGCGAATGCCACCTTAGTAAGGTGGTACGACAGCCAATGAGAACCGTTCCTGGATAGCTCCGCCGGTGCAATAGCACCGACCGATAAAGATGCTCTTAATGGTCATGAAACACTGAGCAGAGAATGCGCGTGCACCGTGGTGCAGAAATGAAGTACAGACGCAGCATAGATGAAATCAACCACGGTCCATTATGCTATACTTCAACACGCCCTAACTCGGCCCAAAACAGCGCAGTACTTCGGAGACTGGATAAGACGGTCGGACAGCCGGCGTTCAAGCTGACGTTAAGCCGTCCGGGTCTCTGTACGACCGCCCTGTTCGCGGGGGCCCAAGCGGGCCAGAGGACCCACCCGGGTTACGTAACCTATCCGCGCCAGTCCGCGGCCCCCGTTTAGTCATCACCCCCGGGGGGGGATTCGCCAGGGGCCCCCGGAAGATTGCTAGCAAAAAATCCAGGGTGCTTTTCGGCAGGATCGCCCCCGCCTCGCCCACCGCGGGAGCCTGCCTGCCGAGGACAGGGAGGCGCGGCGGCGGGGAGCGTCGGCGCCAGGGCGGCGGCGAGGAGCGAACCCCCATGGCGACGCGGCCCCCAGGGACAAAGCCGCGCGGACGGCGTGATGCTGCCCAGCACGCGCCGATCCGCGTGGGCGGCCGGCAAGCGGCATCTCAGCCCGGCGCGGCGGATGGGAAGGGGGCGGGGGTTGTGGGGCCGTCCGGGCGCGAGCCGGGCGCTGGGGAGCTCGAGGGGTCGCAATACAGGACGGACGAGTTCCGCATGTTCTGCCTCAAGGTGGGGTTGACGGAGGTGCCTTGAGAAGAGGGGGGGGGGTGGGTGGGTGGGTGGGTGGAGAGGGGGGCGGGACGCGTTTCACGGCATGTCACCGCCGGGGGGGGGTTGAATCACGAGATCTGGGCGCCTGTTGGAGATTTGGGGGCCGGTGTTGGGCTCGATCGACGCCTTCCGAACCGGAGCGGGCCATGGTCTGCGCGGCGCGGCGTCGCGGTGGCGCGGCTCCGCTCCCGCGACGATCGAGCCCGCCTGCGCTCGCCGCGGCGCAGGGAGGCGGATGGGGCTGACTCCGGTTGCTGTGTGTGTGGGCGGCGTTCCCGGCGCCGCACAGGTCCTGCAGTGCAGCAAGCGGTACTGCCACGACTGGACGACCTGCCCGTTCGCCCACCCGGGCGAGAAGGCGCGTCGGCGGGACCCGCGCAAGTTCCGGTACACCGGCATCGCCTGCCCAGAGATGAAGCAGGTGAGCGCGCCGGGCGAGCCACTCGGGAAGGCGAGGGGGAGAGGGGCGGCAATTCGCGCAGCGCGGCGGCATTTCTCTTTTTGTCGTTTTGAAGTTGCAGGGGTTTTCTTCCCTGGGGCCCGTCGGGGGCTGTGGATCTGGCCCTGAGGGGCTTGTCGGCCGATGCCTCGTCGGGGGGTGCGCGGTCGGTCGGAGCATTGACCCCGGGAGTCGCCGACCGCGCCACGGGCGGCGCTTGCCTGGAAGCGGGACGCGTCGCCGACGCTTTGGCCGCGGGGACGGCCATGGGCCGCCCGGGACGATGCGTCGCGACGAGTGTGGTTGGGTCCCAGGGGGGTGGCAGGCCGCGCCGGGAAGGGGCCGCCCACCTCCGTCCAACCCAGCCCGCTTCCCGTGGCGGGCCATTTGGAATCGGGATTGGGAGATCCCCGCGCACTGGTCGCGCCCCGGACGTTGCGGGGCGATCTGGCGCGGCGCTGCCTCGGCGCGCTGACAAACTGCGCGGCGGTGCTGTGGCCAGGGAGTGGGCTGCCCCCGCGGAGAGCGCTGCCCCTTCGCCCACAACGTCTTCGAATACTGGCTGCACCCCAGCAGGTAAGCCCCTTCTCCCACCCACGCAGGGATGGGTGCCTGTGCTGCGTGATCTGTTCGTTGCCTTCCGGCCTGAACAGCGGCATTGCCTTCCCGGCTCCTGCCCGCTGAGTCCCCCCTCGCCATACGCTTGCTTAGGAGGGCGTCCCCGTTGTGTGGCCTGTTTCTTTCCCTCACTGCAGGAAAAATCCTAACCCGCTCGCCCCGGCGCCGCATCAGGTACCGCACCCAGCTTTGCAACATCGCCGCCTCCTGCAACCGCAAGATCTGCTTCTTCGCGCACACCATCGAGGAGCTGCGCGTGCCAGCGCCTGTGGGCGGCGTGGACGCCACGCAGCTGCTGGCGGGATCGGCGGGCCAGGGGCTGGCCGGCACCCGGAGGGCCCAGCACCACGGGCCGGGCAGGGCGGCCTACAGGACGCCTAGGCGCGCCGCGGCCACCGAACCGGTGCGCCGGGTGACCGCGCCGGAGCCGGTGAGTCCCCCCCCCCCCCCTTCCCTTTCCCCCGTTTGCTGAATGCTTCTGTTTCTTTGCTGCGCTATTTCTCTGTTTTGTGATTTCCTTGTTTCTTTGCCTCTTTGCTTCTTTGTTTCTTTGCTTCTTTGTTTCTTTGCCTCTTTGCTTCTTTGTTTCTTTGCCTCTTTGCTTCTTTGTTTCTTTGCTTCTCTGTTTCTTTGCTTCTGGTTCCTTTGAATTTGCCATTGAAAGACAGAGCGGGGCTTTGGAGCTCGCGTGCGGTGACAGGGATGTTGTCAGTGGCGCGCAACGATTGTGGCGCTGTGACATCGGACAGGGGTTCGTTGGTTCTGCGCGAACCAGGTTCCACCCACTGCAGCCACAACCAGCTTGTCTGTCGGGGTTGAGGCAAAGGCGACATTGGGGGAGGATGAGGATGTGCACGCTTGTTCTTTGTTGGCTTGTGCGGGTGGACGGTGAACACAGTGCTTGCACAGTGCTTTCCCTGCGCTACCCATTGCCCCAAGTCGCATTGCGTCGACATGTCCGCACCAGGGAATGACTTGCCAAATGCTGCCAAAGCATGTTGGATCATCCCACCCACAGTGAACGCAGCACTCTGCATTTGGGCCAAAGTACTGGCAGATACCATGCCTGACGGCTACGTCGCCCGGAAGGTTCCGGATGGGCTCCCTGTTTGCTGCCATTTTGAGGGGTTTCCACAGCTTTTGCCCACCGCAGATGACATCGCATGGAATTGTTGTCCACACCTATGCCGGGAACGGCCACACCAGCCGCGATGGTTCTGCTGTGCTCACATCAACTCCTTTGCTGGCCACTTCCCTTCCGCGCTTTCCTGGACCCTTGGGCTCACGTCGCTTAATGCTGATGCTCATGCCTCGCTGTGCAGTCACCACGCGACCCGGCCCTGGTGCCATCCTCCCTTTACGGCCACGATCACTTTGGCCATGAGCATGGTGGGCATGAGCACCCTGCCTGTGGGCATGCTGGACCCTCACGCGACACCAGCACCTACTCTGAGAGCCAGGCCCGCCAACTGCTGGAGATGCTTCGCAGCACAAGGCAGCAAGCCTTGCAGGTGTGTCCCCACCTCCCTCCCTGCATGCTTTGTCCACTGCATACCGCAACATATTCAACCCTTCCACAGTTTTGAATTTCAGCGTTACTGTTTTCTCTCATTGTTTTGCCAGACCATTACTTGGCGGGGCTCTGCATCATGTTCGCTGGCTGAATGGCGACTTTGCTCAGTTCACATGGCGTGAAATGCCTGGTTGTCCACCACAGCAATATGCAGCTGGGGGGGCTGGACACCACTGGCACTCCAGAGACCCTTGTGGCATGGCTGGGGCTGCTGCGCATGTTCTTGGCACCATTATGTTTTGCTGTTGCTACACATAAAATGGCCAAATGTAACATTACAGTGCAGAAGGGTACAATAAACTATGGTACTTTGTCCACTACATAATATAGCTGTCGTGTTTTCCGCGTCTGTGTTTTGCAGTGTGTGTTTTTGTTGCTCAAAGCCCATTGCCCATTCTGTGTGTATTCATAATAGCACCTTGGAGGTTTCTTGAATGTGCTTGCCAAGGTGGAAAGTATAGAAAAGCTTTCCTGAGGGATTCCCTGCCCATAACATTTCCCCAGATTCAGACCTTTGTTGCTCCTGTCCCACAACTCTTCTGTGCTCGACAGCTCCCCTCAGCTGATTAGCCTGGCCACGGTGGTTGCATTAATTAGTATACCATAATGAACACAAAAGTCAAGTGTATCGCAAGGATAGAGATAGAAGTTCAACACAACCAGAGGACAAAGACTGAGAGTAGAATTTTGTCTGCAGGTGCACCCCAGTGTGCCCTTCGCGGATGTGCAGCAGGTCCAGGCCCTCTTGTCCATCCTACAACAGCAGCAGCAGAGGCAGGCAGCCGCACAGAAGGCTGCGGACTCAGAGGCCAGCATGACGCAAGCCCTGCAAAACTGCCTCAGCGCTTTGTATTGCCAGGTGGGTTTTGGAGTCCAGGACCACAACCAAGGTGCCGGTTTACGTGCTCCTTGGCACTTGTGTGCTCAGGCCACTCCAGAGGCAGCATGATCATTTTGCAGCTCGATGCAGTGACTCGATCAAGTCGATACATTGACTTGCACTCTGCTGTATGAACCCCAATGAATCATCAACTCGATGTGTCACCAGGTGACCACACAACCGATGTCCGAGGGGGAGCGCGAGCGCCTGATCAAGATGCTCACCTGGATCTTCATGATGGTCCAGTCTCAGTCGCTGCAGGCCTTTGGGGGCGACATGCAGGGTCCCTGGGACAGCCCAGCCAGCCAGCAGCTGGTGCTGGGCGCAGGCATCAACTTGGATCACCCCCCGCCTGCCATCCCCGAGCGCACCACTTCCTCGTTCAGCGACCGGGGCAGCTTGTGCAGCATACCGGAGATGCAGATGGCCGCTGGGCTGGACTCGTCGATGTCTGTGTCGCCGATGCAGGCAGGGCAGGGGCAGCCCCAAGGGCGGTCGCCCCTGCAGTGGGGCGGGTCGCGTGGGGAGGTCATGATGCAGCCCTTACATGCGAGGGTGGACTCTGGAGAGGTGCACCGGCGGAGGCCGCCATCAGAGGTAGGCAACCCAGCGATGGTGGCCCAGGCGGTGACCACGCGGCTGTCGTCTGAGAGCGGGTGGAGTGCAAGGATGAGCGCGGCGTCGGAAGGGGGTTGGACTGCGAGAATGGGCACCCCGCGGGGGAGCGCACATTCATCGGGGGAGAGCGCGGTGACGGAGCTGTGGGGGATGATCTCAAGGCAGTCGGGGTCCAGCACGACGAGCGCCGGGCGCCTGTCAGACATGCAGGATGCATGGATGCACGACTACAGGCGGTGAGGGGGTGCCCATTGGGGAGTGCCTTGGAGACCCCCGTTTGGGCTCTGCATGTCGGGAGTGGGATATGCAGTCACCTGGCAGAAAGGAAGGGAACGAATGGAATTCCACAGCGATTTTGGGGTTTGCGGGGGCTGCGCATCTGAGTCTGCGTGTTGAAAATGTACGTTTGGATGCAGGGATGGGCTTTGAGCTGCTGAATGGCATGTGGGTGGGCTTGTGGCGAGTTGGGATTGCCGTGCGGGCGTGGCTTGTGTCCATGCACGTGCTGGGGACCTGCAGTGACGGGCTGTTGTTGTGGGTGCTGGCATGGGAGGGCCCGAGTGCCCGGCCTGTCTGATTTGAAGCCTGCGTGCAAAGAGGGCGAATCGTGCCTGGTGTGTATGTGCTACAGGCTGGCATTCCTGTGGTGTGGTGCGGGGCACTATCGCAAAGGATGTCGGCCACCATTTTTTATTCTTTATTTGCCCCGTGAGATACCGAGGCTCGGGCATTCAGACCAGGCAGCCTTCAGAGGCAGATAGTTGGCTTTTTATTTCCAGGCGGAGGGGAGGGGTGTGTGGGTGTGTGTGTGCAGGGGTTCAGTGCGCGTAGGCGTTTTCGGCCGTCAGTTTCCGTGGGCCCTTTGTGAATGTGTGGGGCATTAGTGACTTGATGAAACAGAGGGTGTGCCTTTTTTGGGGGGATGTGGGTGGGCTGGGGTTCTTTGGCGCTTGTGACCGTTGTACTTTTTTGGGCCTGGCGGGGGGAGTCTGATGGGGGGTGGAGCAGGGCAGGTCTGAGCTATTGATTTGCATCGGTTGGTTCAGCCGAGGAAAGGCCGTGGGTGGCGCACAATGGGGGCCTCTGACTGTCCCTCGGCCTCAGAACGTGTTGATTGGGATATCCATTGGCCGTGTGCGCAATGTTTATTTGTCTTCTTTTTTGGGCATGGCTGCATGGTGGTCGACCCATGCTGATCTGTTCCCTCCCTAGGGTTCTCTGTCGCAATTGCATAAAATCGTGCGAGGACGGATCGGTCCTTGGGGTGCTGTGGGTCAATGAATGGTCAGGGGTCTGTCAGCGGCGGTCCTGTTCCTCACGAGCACGAGGAGGGGAGGCAGAGAGAATGTATGAGTGGGATGGCATGACAATGTGTCCTGCGGCTTACCTGTGGTCGCGGACTGCTATGTAGCTGCTGGCTGGTGCGATCCAGCAGTGGGAGTGAGGGGCGCAGGACTGAAGGCGGCAGTCATGATGGTTGATTGCAACTGGAAGAGGCGGGGGTGGCGAAGGCTGCTGCCACCCGTGGACTCCCAGGGTGACATTGGTTTACTGAAGTTATGTGGTCAAGTGCTTCGGATTTCGACGGGATCGGTGCCGTTTTTTTTGGAGGTGAGGAATGCACGTTTCTTTTTTTGCATTGGCCGCGCCTGGGGCAGGCGAAGGAGAGTTTGGTCCTGCCCTGATGGGCGTCCGGCGTATTGTGCAGGGATTGGCAGAACTCCAATGGTGCAGTCTCTGACTGCGCAGGTGAACGGGGAAATCTAAAATGAGGACACTAGGCAAGTATTTTTTTGCGACGGTGGTGGCTGGCCAGACGGGATGTGCGCCCAAACTGCATCGTGGTGCACCGCGTCGCCGCCAGAGACGGATTAACTTGTTTCGGCCAGCCATGTGGGTAGACGAAAGAAACTTTGCTGAACATTTTTGCGTGCGGTAGGAATTCTTGGAAAACAGCATAAACTCGTTTCGAGAATTGTTTGATTACGAGGGCGGGGGCAATCCATCCATTGAGTTGCAGGTCTCTTATCAGTGGCACAGCCACCGAGCCCTGAAAGGGGGAGGGTCCGGAGCGTTGTACTTGGAGCAAATGGATGACATGGCGGGCAGTTCAGGGGGAAAAAGCTTGGTGTCAATCAACCCGCCAAGCAGCTTCCAGGTGCAGTGGCCAGGAGGGAAGACGACCTGCGTTGTGTCAAAGGTTGGGTGTTGGTGCCCGCCTGTTCTGGTGGCCCGCACTGCGGACTGCGCAGACGTGTTGGGCGTCGACAGGGGTGCTCCACGACGGGATGGCTGTCTGTGTGTGGTTGTGTGCGTGTGTGTGTGTACGTGTGAACCCTTAGTGCTCCGGCTGGTGCCATGGGCAACCCAGGGGCCCGGACAGGCGCGGGAATTGCAGCAGCCCAAGACTCTTGGTGCTTAACGCTGGACGCAGGGTGCGCTTGTGGCCAGGGAGCATGGCCCGCAGGTTGTCGTTCTGCTCGCCTCTGGGCTTGGCTGGCGAGGGGGTGTGACTTTTTTATCTGGGGTAGGGAAAGTTGAAGCGGTGGAGTCGAGTTTGGTCAGGGGCAGGGGGCGGTGCTGTGCCTTGGGTGTGTGCTGCTGAGCTGCGAGACGCTCGCCTGCGTGGCTGGGCCGTCGACCACGGCATGCAGCGGGGCGGGCAACGAGTATTGTGAACAAGTGGGGCATTATGTGTGCTGGGCTGACGATGGGGGCCCGTTTGCTTTGCGATGTAAACTACCGTGACTCCTGTGCCAGGAGGTGGGAGGCCGGCTGTTGCCATCAAACTCACGTGGTGCGTTCTTTTATGGGCTTTTGTTGTGCTCCTATACTTTTTTATCATCTTTGCTCCTTGCTGTTCTGAGGCTGCGCGAAACGCCGCTGCAGCCGCGAACCGGCAGTTCTTGCTGCCGTTGTGATTTGAGCATCTTCGTTGAAGGTAATGCGATGCTGTTCTATTGTTTCCTTGCATCCTTTAAACAATGTGCACATTGCCACTTTCCATGTTTGACAGTTCATGTCAAGCACTTGCTTTGTTTCACTGGCTTCCTGTTCGGGTCGCCAATAATGACAGCACATTATCGAACATAGTAGCTTATTCATCGGACGCACAGCTGGCTCCCCGTGAGGACCAAAATGGATCAGAAGCGTCAAAGAATGACCCCGGGAATCTACAGCGATGACACTCAACGTCCAAGGTCTCGACACGCAGTTCACAGGACTGCGCCAGGGCCAGTCTCAGCATCGACCGTATACCAGAAACGATATGCACGCATGGCTGGTGTCGACCTGGCAGATTACAACATCCTCCGCAGCAGCTGGGAAGGACCGACATCGTGACCAGTCTCACAATCTATGGCGACTCGCCGCACGGGCTATCTTGCCCCCGACTTCGCTTGCCAAGCAAAGCGCTCACCCAAAACCCACTCACAGCGGGTCAGGAACCTGCGAGAAGGGATTGCGCCCGAGCTCGGCCGAGCAATGCCCATTGATCGAGACGGGCGAGCCGTGGTCGGCGATGGGGTTGGGAGTGGGGGATGGCAGCCAAACGGCCGATTGGTCGATCAGAGCTGGAAGAAAGAAAAGCAACCGGAGGGATCTACAGCAGGGAAGCAAGCCTCTTGAACTGCACGGTTGGCAGGTCATCGAAAAGCCACAGAAAGAAACGCGCCATCGGGCGCCATCGGGACGGTCCGGAGGTCATAGGTGGACGCGCGGTGCGGAGCCGCACGGGTCAGTAAGGGGCTCCGTGCCAAAAGTGACCCGGCAAAGTCTTTGGCCTCAAGGAGCGTTCCCAATCTGCGCGGTCGTTTGTTTGGCGGAAGCTCGAGTGACGAAAAGCGCTACCTCCGGAGCCCACCGGAGGGGGTGGGGGGGGTGGGGGGTGGGGGGTGTCGTGGGAGGTTCCCGAAATGAAAGAGTTGTACTGCCAGCATCTGACTCAGCCTGGCCGCCCGTGGGGGTACCAGGAGTGGCAGAGTCGGGCAGTATCGGGCGTGGATCGGGCGCCGCAGGATTCACGTGTAGTTTGGGACGGTGTGATGTGATCAGGATGTCTGCAACTCTGCAGAACGCTCGCCAAGTCAGCCATCTCAGCCATATGAAGTCGGATGGCTGATGTGATGATTTTATCATACTCAGGGATCAAATTGCAGTACGTACATACCAGATTCAGGCTTTTTAGGGCAGTTTCAGAATTGATGGAATTCTCAAATCGCAGCACAATGTGGGCTCTAGGGACCAAGTTACAGCGGCTTTACTGAAAGTGGCCCCTAAAATGAGTGATGTGTGAGGCATGTTGTGTAGGGAAAAATGACATGGCTATGTCACGTCTATCCAGAGATTAGGACCTGTCTGTAGAGCCCGAGAATGTCCATTTTGGGCATGTACTGAGACGTTGATGCGACGAGAGAGGAATCTGCGCATATGCCCCTTTGATGCCATATGTGATCACTGCAATGGAGCGCCAGCATGTGCGAAGGGTTCCTGAGCTGGCCCCAAGCTCAGGATGGCTAGCCCTGACTCCCCCAACAACGTGGGAAGGCGCGAAGATAAGATCGCACAATGGAGGGAGTTATGCAAGCTCCCTTTGGCGCATGATGTGGAAGCTTTTGTCGAGGAACTCGGCGACTTCATGTACGCTCGCAGTCAGGAGCCAGGTGTGGAACCACAGGTCACCCTGGAAGATGGGGAAGTTGTGTATGGCGTCCCTTGGAAAAGGGAGAAGGACTTGCTGGAGTTTGTGATCAGTGAATGGGAGGCCGCTCAGGCCAAGGACGACGTCCTATTTAAGCTGGTTACGGAGGGTCGAGAGTCTCTTCGTCACAGTGCTGACACTGAGGAGCCGCCCGATGTGCTGGTGGAGAGTGCCTTTGTGGAGCTCGAGGGTATGGCTTACAAGGGTTTGGCAGCTGCATGGGATACGACATGGCGCGACTTCGAGCTGAACCGGGTGAAGAAGGAGACGAACGAGCCAGTGCTGCTCGTGGCGTATGAAATTCTCCAGGGTAAGATTGCCAAGGCCGAGGGCGGAGTTGCTGCCCATTTCTTTATGTCGAATGAAGATGGGACTCTGGCTGAAGCCCGTCAAAGGGATGGAGGACTTCAGTCTCTCTTGAATGAGCAGGGCGACTTGTGTGCAATGCGAAAAGGTCCCCCTCTTCGTCAGGGCATGTTGCCTTCGGTTGTGGACGCCATGGTGGCTTTCAATCGTCATGAGAGAGGGATAAGCGAGCTGGAAAGAAGGGATAAGACAAAGGTGGAAGTTCGAAAATGGCTTCAGGGAGGTCGCAAACCTGTCGTGGTTCATGCTCAGCCTGTGCATTCAGGCGCTGAGAGGCACCCGTGATTCCATGCTGCGTGGCATGGCGATTGACATGGCTATGCAGCGCACACAGCTGCGCCATGTGAGAAGGGCGAAAATGGTGTGTAGATGGATTATATTGAATGTAAATTGACATGACCTGATGCGGGGCGATGTGACCTAGCTGGTGTGAAGAGTGGCAGCATTTCGAATATCTGATAGAATATACGATGCGTTGACAAGTGCTGAATATGAAAATGAAGTGTCGTTTTCACATTGGGGGGCGGCAAGGAGCCGAGCGCTGTCGACGGCACCAATGCAACGCCCAGGCCATGGTGCGTTCTAATAATAGGTATGTAAGGGTAAGGTCAGAGGGGAGTACTGCCTGGTGTTATGGTGTCCAAAGGTGATGTGTTTAGGCCGCTGATGTGACATGGTTTGCAGCCTCAGGTGATTCAGTGTGAAAGGGTGTGTGAGCTACGAATATGCGGAGCTCTTTTTGGAAATACCATAGCATTTCATTGATTAGAGGGCATATGAGTCCAGAGTCGAAGCGTGGAAGTAGGGCTGTGCGCGGGGCCGGAGGCTGGGCTTCGCTACACGTCGTCGATGTGACCGGACGGACGCATGTAACACACTGTTGTGGTTTGAGACGTAGCGCCAAGAGGCGCAAGAGTGTGCGCAGCCTGTTGGTGTCTTTGCCTTCGCTTTCTGAGCTGTTTTGGTGCTGCTTCACATGCCGATCCTCACCAACACGCAACAGGGGACAGACGAACTGATACAAAAAGTCTGTGGGTGTGGGGCGCCTGCCCTCTTTGAGCCGCGGACCCGCCTCGCCGGGCACCTAGGTCCTTACGGGGACCTAGGCGGGACCACCCCTCCTACTCCCATATCCTTATAAGTATAAGGGTTACCGTAGGACAAGGAATACAATACGATCTTGGATAGGGCGTCCCCCACACCAAGGACCAGTAGTAGGGCGTCCCCCACATCAGGCCGGTGCGCGTAACATTCGTCCCCCTCAGGGAGGTGGGGCGTCCTCGTCCCAATGTATATGGATATGGGAGCAGAAACATTATGTATGTGGGAATAGAACTGGCTGTGCGATTTGCCACATGCCCAGTTGGCGCGGTAACCACACATACATGATGTAAACTATGGTGAAGAGAAAGAGTGGTTGTTTTTACATGACCTCCCGGTCTTCACAACCCTCATTAAAACTCTTCCTCAGCCACATGGCTGGAATGTTCGACCTCCCGGCCTGTCATCTACGACCCCGAGAATGGGAACCACCAAATGCCCATGCCGGTGGGCGTCGGCTCGGTGCGGGACCTCGTCCTCGCCCGCGGCCACGCACACGCCCAGCTCCTCGAGAGGCTGGCACGAGCGGTTCATCAATGTCTAGTCTTTCTCCATTCAAGATCGCAACGGACATGGCGTTCATGTGTCCAAATTACGTCTTGGCACGGGGAGCGGTGTACCCAGTGTTCTTCTGGGCCCATCTCAGGAGAACCTGTCAAAGCATAGTCACACATGAGCATGTTTTAGTATGTACATCCCGTACTTTCACGCAGTTTGCATTTACATCACAGGGGTTCTGCCATTTTCAAATGCTTGAACCAGTTCCTGTGCATTTGCAACTGACTTTGCTGATTCCCAGCTGTTATGCTCATGTCCATATCCCAGCCATTTGACAAGGTACTCAACATAGTTTTTGCGTCTCCCACGCTTCTTAATCCTTTTGTCAAGAATACGTTCAACTTCATACTCCAGTTCACCTTCGATCTCGATAGGTACTGGGGGTGGCTGTACTCTGCCACTTGCCTTATACGGCTTGATTTTCGACACATGAAATACTGGATGTATCCTATGCATGCTTTCTGGGAGTTCTAGTCGATATGTGACAGAACCTATCCAGTCGAGGATGGTGAAGGGCCCAATCCACCTCGGTAATAATTTTCGAGTTCCAGGGTGCTTGAGGGTGATATGTTGTGTCGAAAGGAGGACGTCATCTCCTTTATTAAACGACACTTCCCTCCGATGGCGGTCAGCATGCTTCGACTGCCTATCTCGTGCTTTTTCCAAGCACGCCCTAGCCTCTTTCAGCGCTGTTTGGA